CCCTGAGGGGACCGGCCCGGCCCGGCCGCTCCCTGCGAGCAGCCGCCACCCCCGGGAGCGGAACGGGTGGTCTTCGCACCCCGCTGGGGCTGCTGCTTCGGCGGCGTGTGTTCCCCGGACCCGTAACTCGCTCAGCCGGGTAGTGGTGGGTGGGTTACGACCCCGCAGGAGAGGGCGGGCAGCCCTCCCCGCCGGGCCGGGCTCATGGTGCGGGGCAGGGAAAAGAGCCGAGCTGTGAAGTCGGCAGCTAGCGGAGTAACCCCTGTCTCCGGCGAGAGAGGAGGGCTTCGCACCTCCGAAACCCGCTTGAATCGAGAGCTCTTAGAATGAATTCCCCTTTAAGTTTTTCCTTTTCATTCGATTTTGAATGGATCAGTCAGTTTGCTTCCTGTTTGGCAAGTCCAGTTTGCTTTTGTGTTTTCGTTTTTTTTTTTTTTTCCTTTTTTTTTTGAAACTTGAACTTCTAAATACCTTATTCTGTCGCAATATTTTTGCTCGTTTTGTCAATGGACCATAAAAATCCAGCTGGAGCAGGAGCCCCGTGCTGCTGCTTCTGCAGGCTGGGTGCTCCCGTTCCCACTGATGGGATGCAGGCAAAACCACTTCTCTGCTTACTACTCACGTAAATATAATACAAAGGTGTGTGTGCTTAATAGTTCTCTCTGAATCGATGATGCTCTAATAACGTATGCAACTAAGCGGATAAAGAAGTAATGGAGTTCATTTAGCTTTGCTTTCAGTCTTCACAATGTAGTTTAGCAGGTTTGCTGCCGTGTGTATGTTCAGGGAATGGCTTGAAGGTATCGATGGAATTTAGTATGATTTTAACATATGTGATTGAGATCTTAGTTAAATCTTAAAAACAAAACTAGAAGCCAATCACTTAAGAACAGCTTTGACTATAAAAACAGAAAAGGAGATCAGAATTTATTCTTAAACCATTTTTTCTCTGATACATCAGATTGTCGTTAACGTCCGTAGAAGTAGGATTGATACACTATACATGATATGGCAACGTATATTTGTTTCAAGCTGAACTCTTACTTTCCTGTGGTATAAGAATATTTAACTATGAAAAAGAATAGGGATTAAGACCGATACAAAATCTGGTTTCCTTTCAAAGCCATATTTGCATAGTCTAAGGGCTGCCTTCCTCTGCAGATGGCTTCTGTAAATTCTGGAAAGTGAGCCGCTTCACTAACAGCTTTATATGACTTGGATAGGACAGACAGATTCCCGTTGCATCAAAGCTGTTAATCCCTCTTGTGCAAGATGTGGGGCAGGAGCGTCAACACTGGTCTCTCACCTCCCAGATAAGTGATCTGCTCAACTAGGCTAGATGATAGTCTGAATTGCATTCAATTAATTAAATATTCATTAGAATAAATACTGTGCAGTCCCAGGCTTCCTCAGATAAGTATGTGAACAGTTTGATTATAGATTCAAATGCTGTCTCTGCTCTACGAAGTATTTTTAATTTTCAACATCTGTTTTAGTCACTGAATTCATTAATTCGTGCTGATGAAAAATAATTTTTTGCTGAAGTGTTTTGCTGGATTAGACTTTAAAGACAAAAGAGGGTGTAGTTCACATCGGGCTTTGTGTGGGTTGCAGTGTTAATGGTGGAGAGGGAAGGTGCTTAAGAAAGATTATTAGGAAGTTATTAAAGAAAACAGTAACAAATAGGGAAGTCAGCTGGGAGTGGGCAGAAGTTGCATACTTGGGGCTGAATGGGAGTTGTGAGAAAGAAGTCCTGGGAAGAGCGTAGGGAGTTGCCAAGAGTTGATTCAGTTGCCCTTTGAGCAGGTCACATATAGCTGCATAAACTGAATAATGTAATGATACCTAACTCACATAGATGTTTTAACTTAACACTAGAATTTTCAGTTAATGGCAGCCTAGACCTGTATGTAGTTCAAGCTTCTTACTGTTGTCAAGGCAAAGGGCTATCTTTGAGTAATATTTAATTTACTTCTGCAGAGCTTTGTAGATTGATGATAACAAACATCTATGTCACTGTTGATACGCTGTCTTATTATTAGTCACATGGTTGGTGTGTTCTGTTGTGTTTATGCACATTTTTAGTAAGCTAGAGGGAGGGAAAATTTGAAACTGGTGTGTGCATAGAGTACATGTGATTGTATTTTTTGTAGTTCAGGATTCAGTTTTCTTTACTTTTTTGGTCTAACTTTTTTTTATTCTTGACGTAGAAGCCAAATGCTACTCCCAGCCATGGCAAGCTTCATCTGGAGTAATTCATGGCAAATTTTGCTCTCATCTGCTTGATCTAAATGAAGAATGTTGTTTAGAATAAATTCTTTTCCAGTATGGTTTACATGTATGAACCCTTTCACCATGGTCATGAAAAAATAATATATGAAATGGCACAGACAAGATGTCTGCTGTCAGTGCAGCAGGACAAATTCTGAAAGTGTTTGTAGGAGTTGTCTATCCATGTGAGAAATATTGTGAGTGAGATCTTTTCACAGCTGGGCTCGGTTCTGCGAAGTGCTTAGGGCTCTCGCCTCCCATTGTGAAAATGGTATAATATTAACCAGCTTGTAAGATCTGCCTGTATTGTTTGAAACAGCCCTCAAATGTAGCCTGCCATTTCCATATTTCAGCTGCCAAATGTAACTCATAAATTCTGATTAGATGACTGGATTGCTTGTAATTAACAAGACAATATGGTATGGATAAAAGGTTTTGACACAGATGAAGTTCTCGCCTTAATCGCTGGTTTGTCTGAAGAAAAGGGAAACTTGATGAAGTAAAAGGTAGTGTACTGATTGTTTTTGCATAAGATTTGCACATGATGACTGGATAAATCTATCTAATGCTTTATTTTAAAATTTAAAAATCTTACTTAAAAACCTTCAAGACTAGCAGAAATAATTTTCAAAGTGTTAGCATATACCTTTTGAAATTATCTGTATAAACGTAGACCCAGAATGACTCATCAGGTCGCTACAAATCCCAAGCCCAGTCGTGCCACTGAAATCCGCAACAGCACTGGGCCCTCCCCGTTAGAATCCCACCCTCCCCTTCCTTCTCCCAGTTACAAAATGTTGCCTCTCCAAAGCATTGTAGGAAAATTGGAGAGTAGCCTGAGCTATGCCCCTTGGGAGTGATGGAAAAGTGGAAATAGCCCGAGGTCATCTGCCATGGCAGCAGTACCTCCCGTTGCACACTCGCGCTGCTGAGGGAACGGCTCCAGAGGCCTTGGAGATGACATCTCCTTGTGCAGAGCAAGGAACCGCGTGTGGGTAGCTCAGGCTGGCACAGAGTCGCAGGGTTTCTGGCTTCTCCGTTCCTTCCCAGCCTGTGCAAGTCCAGCCTGCTCGGCTGGTATGGGAGGAAGGGCAGGCAAATCCCTGTCTGTAAAGGAGCAAGGGAGATGTATCTGCATCAAAGTTCTTTGGAAATGAAAGAGTTTGGGTATCTTAAAAATAAGCATAATTTCATCCAAGCAAAACGTTCTTAGGTTCTATATGAAGTTCCACATATGATTAGACTGTCTTTTTGAATATTATGAAAGTATATTTCAACTTAAAATGCTCTAGTTTTTTCAGTTCTGAATGTATTCCTCTGAGAACACATAGGTAACTAGATAAAATAATTTTACACGTTATCCTCTCTAAACCAGAGAGAGTGAGTTATGTATTCCAAAGCCCTGTGGCAGCATGATTTAGTTCAGGCAGGTTTGCCCAACTTTTCAGTAAATTGAGAATGTGTCTTATAATTTCACGCGCAGTGCTTACCTTGTTGTCATGTGCCATACGATGGTAGTCAACTGAATAAGAACAGTTACTGCCCTCCCACGGTACTCGTATTGTCGACGGATAGAGCCAGTGGTGCGAAGCTCGGAGCTGCCTTGCCTGGCTCAGAGGAGGTACTGGGAGTCAGGGGCATGCCTGCTGTGAAACTGATGTGAAGGAAGTACCAGTGGGCATTCATTTTTTAAGTATTTTACTTTTTAGTTGAAATTCTGTAGGTGTCAAGAGTGATGTAGGAATTGGGCTGTGTGTTCTAGACCTCCGTACTGTCTCTTTTCATGTCCCGATACAGAGAGTTCTGTTGGCGTCGGTGGGTTCCCTTCCTTGACGGACCTACCTCAAGTACACGGCATGTGGGAGGAGGAGTAAGCAGCTTTCTAAGTTTTCTGCAGCAATTACAATTTTGAGATTTCTTAATTACTATGATTGCTGCTAAAACAGTTTCTTTTCTACTTTGATTTCTCTTTCCTGGTGCTGTTATGATTCACTCTTGGGAGATTTGGAAAACTGCTTCAGGCTTCCTAAACTTAAGCAACAGTTCACAACTGGAAATCTGACCTACTTCAGAGCTGCTCTTACCCAGTGAAGAATGTCTCCAAGACTGAACTGCAGCAATATAAACTTACCAAGCACTGCCCACGGGTTAAGGGAAAAAATGATTTATTATGAAAATTGGAAGTTTGTACTGTGAGAGAGAATAAATAGTATGCTGTAAATGAACAAACTGTCCAATCCTTAGATAAGATTCAGTGGGAATTTTGCTTACTTGGGCAAAGAACTGGATGTGGAGACTTCAAGCAATGTGTACGATTTGTTGTAATTGGTGGTGGTCTGCAAAATGGAAGACAATGTCTGCAATTGCTTGTAGACAGTGCTGGGAAAAAAGTGAAAAAATCTATTTGAAAACAAAGAAAACTGCTGTCACTCGCAGATTTCTGTAATTTAAAAAGGCATATTTCAGTTTTCCTTCAAGAATGTGCAAATGTTCCATGTGGGCATCTTTTTTCATAAGTGTCAATTACAGAGTTTTGTGACCACTTTTTGAAACAATTGCCACTGCTTGGTGCATTGGATAGTGACCTGAAGTGGTTTGTTGGCAGTTCGTCTACCCTTTCATTTCGGTGTTTAAGCAAAATAGAAATTTTCTTCCCTTGGTGAAGCAAAAAGCGTTGAAGATCTACATCCATTTACACCAGCTGACCTTCATATGTAACATGAATGACTGTAAATAAAAGACGGTGTCTGTGGAAAGGGGACACGGGATCCTTGAAGACCTAGTTCAGTATGTCGGCTTTGATTTGTATCCTATTCTGTTGGCACTTACAGAAAACAAGGACTAATTCCCTCAGGCCTGCGAAGAGGTGATTGAGAAAAAACAAACTTAAAACTGAGAGTAGCAGATTGCATACTGCCACGCTGTACATAGGTTATTTCCTTTGGGGTGGAAAGGCCCTGGCTCTAAAACATTGAGATCCACTGGGCAAAATCACTTAGAAATATGTTTATAGCTGATGACCATATTCAGATTACTTTGGGAATCCACGTAAGCCTAAGCTCTGAGCATAAAATGTTTTAGAGATTAAAGTGCAGTAATCACTGAATCTTTGCTTATTTTCTTCCTTGCAGGGCACTGTTCGAAGGATTATTATCGAGAATCCTGATCAGGTAGGAAAACTGTTTAGTGCTGGAGTTCTGCTTGTGTAACTCTTCCTCCCTTAATTATCCTGATTCGGTGAAGTGCTCAGCTACTTGCATTGGAGTATGCTAAATATTTTGAAATCCCATGGCCCATACCTCTGATGGTGAGAGGTGAAATTGTTCAGGATTGAAAATGCTATAAAATCACCAGTCAGGCTTCCCACCTCTCAGCAGTTAAGTCTCTATTAATATGCTTCAGTAGTACTGCTAGTGGAGATTAATTTCTGTTTCTACTGTGTTTATTTCAAATATTGTCTAGGTAGAAGCACAGTCACTTTGTTTCCAAATGGACATAAACTGAAATATACATATCTTAAAAGAATGATCTCAAAGTATATATGTCTTCAAATTACAAAAAACCTGTGTCATTTTTTAGTCAAAATTACACTAATTCTGAATTTGCTGTTTGACAGCATTTATGAATGTTTTTATTAAAATGTTTTACAGGAGCCGTTATCCCCATTTCTTAGAGGGGGGAATTTCTGTCCTGGAAATAATGTCATCTATGAAAAGACAATAAGAAAATATGAGCTATTAAATCCTCACCAAGTAAGCTGGTTGTTTATATAACCTATTGCAAAAGAAAATGGAGGTGGTAGCAGAAAAGTAATGTTTCTGGGTGGGTTTTGTTGTTGTTGGGAGCTACTGCCAACCTGAGAATTGCCTTGTTGAGGTATAGGACACATTCTCAAAGTAAAGGAAACAATTTTCTGTATGTAAGGAGAGCAGAAGTTGGAACATCTGCTGTATTTTTACTAAGAATGTACTATTTCAGACTAACAATGAAAACTGCTGTTGTATCTCTAGCACTGTCAGTCTTTATCTGAATATTGACTGAGAATTAGTGTCTTGCAGTAGCTCCACAACAGAATGACCAATATAAATTTTTACAAAAAATGAATTGAAAAGACTTTTTTTTTAAAAAATCATTCTTGAAAAAATATATTTGGCAAAGCTATCTGAAATTTCATCTTAGAATTAGTGTTTTGTCAATAGCAAAACTATTATTCCTTTTTTATTGCTCTGAAACACTGCTGTTTTCAACAGGAAAAAATTTGAAATGAAGGGTATTTCAGAGTGATTTGTCTTACCTGTTTTTTGTTTTGTTTTTTAAAACTGAGGTTTTCATGCCATTCTGGATTTTAGATAGATAAATCAGGTGTGATACTATTCTCTGAAGTGGAAAGGGGAGAAAGTAGAGATAATTATGAATAATAGCTTCTTTCTTTCCACAGATGGTGTACAAAGAAAATAATGTAAAAAGTGTGGAGTCTAGTCCTGGAAACCATATTTCTGCTTCTGTTTTTTGTTACCCAGGGTGTATGTAGATTTAAGTCAAATCAGGAGTGTAGTTCTGAAGAAAATTTCCCGGTCTCCCACCACATATCACTCCTTGGTTTACATTGCACCATGGTCTTGGACCATGCATACTAGGTTTCTTTCAGGTGAAATTAAAACATGTTGAAAGAGTGCACCCAGTGTGCTACAGCTGCTGATGGGTGTGTAGCCCTTTCAAAACCTGATGTAAAACCTCCTGAGACCTGTAGAATGTCGGTGTTGCGTCCTCACTCTGCTCCTCTTGTGCCACTGTGTAATGTGGATGTAATGTAGTCTCTGTGCTCTGATGTTGGTGCAGAATTAGATGTTGGTTCAACCTTTAAAATGTAACTGCATTGTGAGTTTTAAGTCAAAATTACCTGATGATTTACATTTATATACTTCTACGTAGAATACAAAACAAGTAGTTTTTAAAGTAAACTTGTAAAAGCCATGATCTAGACAAACAATGAAGTTTGCTGAAATCGGTAAATTGCAGTGTTCTGACTGGAACATAAACTAGTTTCTAGTTTATTGTTTTGGTGGGTGGTTTTGTAAACAGTACTTTTCCCAAATTATAAAAACAAGACGCATGTGTCCCTTATGTATTGTACACCCTGAATCTGAATTGCTGAACGTATTTATAGAGGAAAATGTCTTGAGCCATTTCCTATACTAATTTTTTCCTGATGTAACAAAAACTCAGTAAGTAGTTCAACTGGAGCTCTTTTTTAATCTCTACTTAATGAAATAGGATATGCATGTGTTTTAATTTAAATAATGGAGGTCCCCATTGCCTGAGTATGTTAAGAGTAACATCATAATGAAACATACAATTTGGGAAAGGTGTCTCTTCTGTGCTTTTCATTTATAGCTACTAAAATTTGAGGAGTTGGTGAAAGTGTGAGGCAAACTCATGTCCAATTAGGGAAAAAAAGCCATTTTATTAGGATTATTAAAATATCTGAAACTGTCATCAGTCATTCCATGCAAAAACACATTTCATTCATTTATATAGTCATATTAAGCTTCCATCTCATTAAGATGTGTCCAGCAGCTTAAAAAAAAATCCATTCTTGTTTCTAGGAGAAGCAGTATCAGTTTTCGCACCAGTGTCAGATTCCCCAGCAAGCCGATCAGTGCCATGTTGCCCAGCCCTTCCAGCACTCTGAGCAGTCGCAAGTCACTCACCAGTGCCAACAGACACAGACCAGTAACCCTTGTGAAATAATTCCAGTCTCTGTGAGCGATGACTGTGGAGGAAATACAGTGAGGAGGGTAACAGTTCAAACCTGTGAACCGGTAAGAATCATTTGCTGAATGTTTTACTATTCACAGTGTATTTTTGTTTTGTATGCAGAGTACAAAACTTTACAGATACGTAAAATTGCTAATCTTCCATTTCAGAACTTTTTGTTCAAACTCGCAGTAGGATAATTAAGCACTATACACCTATTGTAAGTAAACTGCAGAGTTTGGGTGTCTGTTGCAGGTAACTACTTTGTGTGCTGTGATTGCAGATGTTGTCTAGAACTGTCCAAGCCTGTTACATGCTGTAAAAAAAAAACAAAAAAAGAAAAAAAAAAATCTGTTTTAGGTGTTGTATCCTATTTTTTGTTGGCATAGACCTGCGCTTAGGTGTACTGACTGATCATCATTCTGTTGTCCTTTAAATGTGTTAAGTCTTGCTGGTTTGTTTGGTTTTTTTCTTTATCTGGGAGTGTTACCCATCAATTGAGTCAGGTTTCATCTGTCAGTCTTTGTACAACAAAGATGGAGTAATGTAAGGCTTATGCCTCTAGTTTTGGAGAAAAGATATGTTATTTTATAAACTCAACATACATCAATTCAGGATTGCTTTCTACCTAAACTGATCAATAAGGCCTTCAAATATATTTCATTTTGATGAAGAAGTACTTGACATAGATTCACTGGAAGCACAAAACTAGCTTCCTTTGCCCTTCGTTTTACAGCAGGTTGCAAGTTCTGGAGTTTCTAAGGGCTGCAGGAGGCTTGCTATACATGTATACTGTTATTTCCGTTGGGGGAGGGAGCGTAGCAGTCCTGCCCATCCATCTGTTCAGTATGTAGGTGGCAAGACAAACATGCTTGGTGACCTCAGCGTCAGACCTATGTGGAATCTTCCATAGCCACATACTCCCATAACCAACTTAAGTACAGTTTGGGTTGCTGTTGCAATTCTTTTATTGTTCACATATGTAAGTATTTGAACTATGGCAATACAAATACCATTTTTGCAGTGGGAAATCTTGCACCTGGTGGTTTTATCTGGGTGGTGCCCACAGGCACTTATCCACTACAGCTATGGAAACATGTATAGTAATGAGACTTCCTAGTTCTCAAGACTTTCCATGTTAGCATGATGATGATGATGACAACACTGCTGTAGAAGATACTACTTTGCGTATTCTTGTTGTAAAGGAAGTAATTTATTTCTCTATAGTTTACTGAAAACCGGAAGACATGGAAGACTCAATAGCAGGGAAAAGAACAGTGTAAACAAATTGCAAAATTAGTGAAAGCAATCAAAACCGAATCCATCATACTTGTAGCATTTTCATGTTCAGCTTTCATCCCGAAGAAGGGAACTCAATTATGATCATTTTGCATATTTTCTGCTAGGTGAATTGCTCTCAGGAAAATAATGACCAGCTGGACTGCCGCTACTTTGGTGAGCTCCTTGCTGAACTACACCGCAAGACCAACGACTTGCACAGTTGTTTACTACAGCATGTGGAAAAGATAGGAGGAAGGTATTGGCATTATACCTGTTCCATCATTCCTGTATTCCAGAAATCCTGGCATTGCACAGTTGAGAGGACAGTATTGTTTGCAAGTTGTTTTTTTTTTTTATTTTTTCTTCCCTGACAACTAGAATTGATTATGTATTTTACACATCATCTAATTTGCTGAATAACTGAGGACATAAAAATGCTGTAAGCCAAGTAAATGTATTGAATTTGATGCTTTTTCAAATTTGTTTAGACTAATATGCAATAACAATTATGTATCCCATGCTTCTTTGCACATAGAGCAAACAAGTGCACTTACAGCATGCTCTGACATATACTTAATGATAAATTCTGTTATTACATCCTGGAGAAACAACCCAAATGTCCAAATTGCCATTTCCTTTGTTATGTCATGGATTAAAAGATGGCCACCGTAAGGCATAAGGCTCGGTATCTACATGCAAATTAACGTTAAGCATGTATTCTGCAGAGCCCTACAGATTGTCTTTGAAAAGAAATGCAGAATCACAGCAGCCAATAATCTGAGTCTTCACAATGTTCTTAGCCCAACCTCACCAACACCATTACTTCATTCATCCCCCCTCGCTCCTGGTCTCGTTCAGTGCTTTCCAAGTTCACTGAAAGAAGAAAAGTGGTCCCATAGCAGGGGAAAAGTGGAATTGAAGCATCACAAAAAACCTGACACTGCAAAGTAAACACTTCAGGCATGTCAATATATTGCAGCATAGTTCTGGGTAAACCATTACCCAGCCACTTAAGAATGTAATTGGGTTTACTGAACATAATGGGGATAACTGCCAACTGCCCAAAGAAACAGAGATAGTTAGCCTGCGTTAACTGTACTGCTATTAGTATTCCAGTCTCCTCAGGTATTTCTACACGGAGCCACATTTAACAACTCGTGTTGCCTAGCACCTTAAAAGGAAGGTAGCAGCTAGTAATCTGATAAAAGATCCTTCCTTGCTCTGTATTTTAAAGATAATCTTTTTATAGTTGCAAATGCGGGCATGAATTCTTAAAGTTCTCAAGAAACTTTCTGTTAATCGATCCCTTGGATTTTGTCTGTTTTACAGGAACCATGACATTGAATTTACATCTCAGGTAAGCATCGGCGTGCTCTTACCAAGCTGTTCCCTGACATGGAGTGCTAGTTAACCATGGTCTGGGTTTTCAAGCAAATTAAGCCAAGCCAGTTTAAATGAAAGATGCTGGTCTTAGTTAACAATTCCTGCTTGTTAGTAACATTCAGCCTGAAACCTACTGCTAGGCATGCATTTGCAAACATGATAATATTGAAAGGAAACTTTAATAATTTGCATTATTCCAGTATGAGAGTCAAATTTTGAAAGTCCTTCCTGTTGTGCCAATAATGGTCTCATTGTAAAATGAACTTACACAGCTACATGTATTTTCACTATGCTTTTTTTACAAAGGACCTTTCACTCTCCTACCAATAAAGCTGCTGTTGAGCAACACATGCTGCCATGCACTGCAAGAATTGAAGAATACTGCCTCTCGCAGAAATGAGAGGAACCTAAGCTGACAGAACAAACTTCCTATGTCTACAGAAAGTTCACTTTTATGAATCGGGACAGAACAAAATCATCAGCACCTCTGTGACCTTTAAAGGCATTGTGTATATGGCAGAAATATTTGTCTAGGATTAAATTACATGAAGCAATGCCACTTAATCACTGGCAGTATCTCCTGTGACACATTGGTCACTTTTAGTTTATTGACAGTCTGTTCTTTGTTCAAAAACATGAGATTTCCTCCTATCATAAACTGCTGGGAGTTCTGCTTTAGCGTCAGCTATTTTCTTGAGAGAGCATTGTTTTGAATACTGCTTTTAAAATAAATGTTAAACTCAATGATTTGAATATATGCTTCATGTATCACTTCATCTCAGTTTTTATATGGCACACATATATAAGACTTTGGAAATTTTCTGGATACACTTTGATCTATTTTCATTCTTATTTGCCTTGTACTAAAGGCGTTTTTCATAGTAGACCTGTGTAATTAATGAAGAAACCACATTATGATCTACCAGGCAAAATTCTTAATCAAGATGTCTGCCCTTTCCTCCCTTCTTTGCTTAGACTGAAGATATTGAAGATTTAATTCCTAAAGGACTGTCTGAGGCAACAAAGCAGCAGATTCGTTATCTCCTCCAGGTATGTGAGTGGGGTGGAGGGGGGGTGTGGAAGCCTACGGTAACTTGAAACAGTGGAAGTTGGCTTACGCGTACCAAGGGCTTTGTACATCACATACTTCACTCCATATTCTGCTTATTCCGTTTTTTCTAGAGTAAAGGGTATGGAATCATACAGGTGGCTTGAAGTGACATGTTGTGGCAGTTGGTTCCACAGACTACTCGTGTATTTTAAACTGAGCTTTACTGGTGCTTTCTTGCAGTTTCACTGGAAACCATCTTGGCTTTTGACCAATTACAGGAGAACACAGACCTTTCATCTTTTTATTTGTTTGTGTTGTATATTAATGCTTCACTTCAAAAGCAAAAGGCAAATAGTAGGTGCTTTGCTGAATATTGAATTGGCTATCAATTGCCAACTACACATAATGCTTATTACTTAGGTCTCAACTTTTAGAAATGTTCTGGTTAAAACCCTCTAACGTAGCACTGAGTTCTGAGGCATGCTTATGACATTTGGTAACAGAACGTAACCATTTATGTTCTGGTTCCATTTATAAAGGCTTTTGTGTTTCTTCCGCTCTTGTTCTTCAGCTACCTCACCATCTCGACCTGCCTTTTCAGTCACCAGCCACGTGGGTTTGGCTGTAAGGCAGTCGGACACGAATGCAAGGTTCTGATAATGGCTGTTCATTCTGTTGCTTCCCAGCACTGTAATACTCTGCAGTGTGTTTTTTAGAAAAACACTCGACCTCTATAAAGTGCTTTGAAGATAGCTAGTTGGAATTGGCCCCTGCCTTTGATAAAACATTAAAACCAGTGCTGTAGCGTGAATCCCACTGTCGACTCCCGAACCATTTGACATGTAGGTATGTTAGAACAGGATCCCAAACCACCTGCACTGCTCAGCAGGTGTGTCTGGATCTGGGCTCTCCGGGGTAGGGCTAAGGCGATCCTACCTGGGAGCTGCAGCTTAGATTCACTTCCTGGTAAAAAAAAAAAAAAATCCATTTGAATAAAGTTGTGAACAAGCAACCTGGTCTGACTTCACAGCTGATCCTGCTTCAGGCAGGGGGGCTGGACAAAGCAACCTCCCAACTTGAATTATCTGTGCTTCTTTTACAATGAAGGTGGACATTGACACCGAAATAGTTCATGACCTCATGTTAGACCATCGTCCCAGGAAGCCGGTTCATCTCACCTCTGTGTGAAAGAGCTGAAACACATATTTCCCGTTTTCTGTATGTCCAGCTGGTTTTACATTCTCACACCTATGCTTAAAAAAATGCAGCTATAATGTCTTTTGGGGAACCAGATTTTGTCAGCATACATACAAAGTGTGCTTGCCGACTACAGACCTCTCGGAGAGTTAGGTCCGGTATGTTTTTACACCTGAGAAAGAATGACTCTGAGCTAGCTGTCACACTGCTCAGATAAACACTCTGCTGGGTACGCCCAGAGGCTCAGGTCTAAGGGCATCGAGCATTTCACTGGGGAAGTACATGACACCTCTGGAATTGAGCAACCTCTAGCACTAAGTAATTGCTGAGTGGGGATTTACTTATGTTTTTAGTCTAAATTCAACCATTTTGACTTAATTCCTTCTTTTAGTTTACTCTTGTAGTATATTATTTTGTAATAAAACCAACAAAACAGTAAGTCAAAACTGAAATTCCACTTTAATGAAAAAACAAATGAACAAGTGAGTTAGTTACACTAGAAGTGTTATTTTTGAATCCTCAGTTACATAGTAGCACCACAGTGGGGATAAAAAAATAGGACAAGGGCTAATCACCATATTGATGGAGATCTTGATAGCAACAGCTAAAGTTAAGGGAAAGTATCAGAGGAAGAGAAACAGACGGAAGGATTTCACTTTTGTCCAGATAGTAAAAAAAAAAATAAAAAATACATCTTTTGCACAGAATATTCAGCCCTTCCAGATGAGTCAAAACTTGAGGAATTACTTGGTGTGTTCTTTCAAAATCTACTTTTCTTCTTTCAAATGTTAGAAAACTATCACAAAATGCAGCAATTTGTGTTTTAACATCAATCAATACACAGCTGTTAACATGTATTAAAAGAAAAAAAGGGAACACTGTTGGGCTATTGGGCACTACTGCCTTTGTTTTTCATCCAGTTGACTCCTTTAATCTTCGGAATCTTTTTCCTTTTGAAGGGAGGAGTTGGTTGTATGGCTTTTATTTAAATTTTAAAAAATTTTAATTAAATTCTCTTGCCCTTGGGCTGAAAGCGTGCTTTGCCAGATCTCAAAGACGATGACTTATTCCTCTGTGACTTCTCAGGTAAGGTAGTAATTTTTTTAAATCAGTGTTAAGTCACAAAGCTCTAAATGCTCAAAAAATGACTGTGCAATATTAACACATTTATTTATTTTTCCCTTTATTGGTGTACAAATGCAGTTCTTTACTCTCTTGTTCATTCCATTTTAAAAATGTTACCCTGTGTTACAAGGCAGTAATTTAAAAACTGTGCCATTTGCAGAACAAAGTGCCTGAAAATGCGTTTCTTTGTAGAAACTGTGTGCACTTCAAAGAATGACGTGCAGTAGTTCTTAAAGTTATTTTCAGCTGTATAGCAGTTTTCTGTTCTACCTGTTGTCAAGCATATTGTGAACAAAGCTTACTAATGAATCAGAAATACACATTTTCATCTTTTTCCCCTCCTAGATGAGAGTGACATCAGATAAATCTTTGAGACTTGTGCTTTCCACTTTCAAAAATTTACGCGAAGAGCTTTGCCATTTGCAGGATGACTTGGGGGTAAGCCGTGGTTTTCAGTTCCGGGGGCCTCGCCCATTTGTTTTTGCCTGTCAGTAGGAAGTCCGTTAGAATGTAATTTAAACTGTGAAGTCCAGGCTTTAGTTGCTTTAACGGAAATGGCTGGTTTATTAATGGACTTGCAAGACTCGTACAGTGGATGAGGTTAGATTTCTTTCTAGCAGTGGTTTTCAAGTGTTCAATTTGTGGAAGCCTAAAACAAATCCTTTCAAAGGAAGAAAAGACCCTGCTGAGTGAAATTAAAGCTCTGAATTGGTATATACACTGCATATATAATCTACACTGGTGTAGACATATGGAACAGTGTTTTTACTCTGAACATGGATAAGGAGTGTATGCCAAGTGCCTGTTTACTAGCGCTGTTCCAGGAATTGGGAGACCTCAGTTCCATTCACTCCTGAAAGCTGTTGTCAGCTGGTGGCTTTAACAACTGCAGTGGTTCTCCAACGTACAGGCATCCCAGTTCGGAAGCTGGAGCTCCACAGCTACTGCTACAGACAGTAGATGATTGCCGTTAGGAAAGCAGAGTTGTTTCCCACACCAGCCCAAGTACTCGGCACCACTGGAAACTTCAGTTTTCTCCTGTAAAATGCAAAGTTCAGGGAGGGGAGGGGGAGTTTTAAGTGTTATCTTTAACATAGAACAAGGAGTCTGTGCAGTGAAATGGTCTTAGTTACAGGGGTTTTGTTGGTTTCTGTTTAATAACTACGAATAACTCTTCCTGGGACAGACTGAAAGAGCAGTGTGCAGGATCCCAGTGCTTACCACACAACACAAAGCCACAGATACTACAGTGATGGGCAACTGTATGCTAGTTAAAAACCCATTGTTTCAAGAAAATTGAGTATTTTCTCAGTTGTAAAAACATCACTTACTAATTACTCCGTATGTTGCACTTTCACTCTATCTGGGAAAAGTTTACTGAAAAACTGCAGCTCTTGACTGTAAACACTTTGTCTTACAGAAGTTAGAAACCGACAGTGTCTTACTTAAGAAGGATTTGGCTTTTAAAGATTCTCAAGTAAAAGAATATGAAACTATGTTGGCTTCTCTGAGAGAGAATAATCGTCAGCAGCAGGTAAATCTAAAAACCTATTTTCAGTTTGTTCATTACAGTCAGCCAAAAACTAGCCACTATGCTGACTTTTGAGTATTGGGAGTAATTGCTGCCTGGTATACGTTTGTGGTATGTGTGTGACCCTGTCACTTCCCTGAGGAACACCACGCATTCATTCCACTTCTGTGCTTTCCAGCAAGGACTCAGAGAGAGCACTGCAAAATGTCGCTCTCTGGAAGAACAGCTCCTCTCTCTGCGGCTCAGTGAGGGAGAAAAGGAGTGTCAGCTAAAGGAACTGGAGTACTGCAAGCGTGCCTTGGAGCAAGAGATCCAGAGCCTTAAACTACAGGTAATAGGCTCACTTGTTCTGTGTTCAGTAGCTGTTATTCACAGATACATTAACATATGAAAATTAATGATGAAAACTCTCTTTCTAAAATAAAAAATTACTTCATTTTCTGTAGGCCTGCTCTAATCCAACACTACAGACCACCACAGATGAACTCTCTAGCCGTTATGTAGAGATGATCAATAACTTGAGAGAGGATAAAGATCGTGAGATCCGCAGTCTTAGGGTAAGTTGATTAACTTGGCATGTGTGTATTCCTCGCCTTCTATGACTGCAGGGAAACAGCTTCTTTTTTAATTAACGAACAGAAAAGATCTACCGTACATACTTTTTAGACATCTTTTGGTTTTGCCATTACTTTATACATAGATACTAATGATGGCTCAGAAACCCTTGTGGTAGAACATGAAACTGTGATTTTAAAAAAAAATACGATTCCTTAGATGTAGAAATTAGGGAGTAATTAGATTAGCACTCTTCTTTCTCCTAAAGGGCTATTTTGTGTGTCCTGATAAAGTAAGAAACTAGCCAAAAGACACCCAACAGAAAACAAAAATAAATCCCAGTCAAGACTGTATGTAGGAAACATCTCTTCTTTAAATCATTGTAGTAATATTTTACCACCTTGGAAGCCAGTTCAACTTGTTCAGTGTTGTATTGGCTTTATTGAGTTATAAAACTACTAAATTGATACTGGGTACAATTCAGTCCAGTTAGCACTTCTGAATTTGCTGTGCAGCTCAATATTCTTATTTGAAAATCATTGGGTCTTACTGTTAATGATTTTAATGAAAAAAATACCTCTGGAGTCCTAGATAAGTACTGAAGGGTCACCTGCAAGGAGCACCAAACACCTGACTGTTCCTTAACGTGTGTTTTGTAGTCCCAGTTATGCCAATTCCAGCAAGATATATCAAAGAGAGAAGGAAGTAACAGTGACTTGCAAATAAGGTTGCACGAACTGACATCGATGTTGGAGGAGAAAGATGCTTTTATTAAACAACAGCAAGAGGTAAAATAATACAACTTACTTCTAAGAATTTTTATATTTAAGCCTCCACTTACTGTGTAGGTGGAAACTTGCTCGGAATTCACTTGTACTCTCCTGGTTCAGAATCGGGGTTAAGGATTTTTTTAACTCAATGCTGTTCCTCTGCCAGTCTTCTGGAAGGACAGACTTTTTCAGACTGCTCTTTGAGAGGAATTTCTGGAAATATTTTGTTGTAACTTTAGTGAATTAATACTTCAGAAAACGTTATTTCATTTGAATGTTTACTTTTGGTTTTCTCAGGACCTCTTCCGACTGAAGCATGAGAAATTATCAGGCAGTCAGTCCCCTGGTGTAACAGCTATCATCACTAAGAAGTAATGTAGTTATTCACCTTTCTTAAAAATACATCCTTTTGATTTTCCATTGTATAGCCTCTATTAACTAAGTTACTCCTGCAAATGTCTTAATGCTGCCTGTTCAACTTCAAGGGGAGGAAGTCGAGATAGGTTTTCCTATCCAGGGAGGATTCAATACTAAGCATTGTAACAGCAATTGGAGGGGTGGCCAGCACATTAAAGTGACATTGAAATGACTGTAACTTTTTAGTTACTAGTGAAAATCTTTGGGGATTAACGTGTGGCAAGATCAGAGCTAGTGATCTGGACACGGGTATGCAGATTTCAGTTTACAGGTTTGCAACTCTCTTTAATACAGGTACAGGAATCAGTATCCTATTCTGGGTCTCTTGTCTGATGACTACAAGGTTACATCGCCTGTCAATAAATCAAACACTATTGTAATTGAGAGGACTGGAGAGATCTGGAAACACGTAAGTTTACCTAGAGATGCAGTCTCTGAAATTCCCAAGTATTCAATTTAACTTCAAAGCAAGCATTAGCCAAAATTGACATCTGAGAGAAAGCCATAGTGTTCCTTTAACTTGGCTGCAAAAAGCACGAAAGTGACTGATGAAAGTCAAGGAACTGTACTGTCTATTGCAAGACGGCAGTAATTGTTGGGTGGAGTATAAACAAATTAACCTTTCCTTGTTTTCTCTGGTACATAATTACCTTTAACGAAAGAACTGACATTGCTCTAACAAACACCCACGCCTGCCCTCATGCACAAGGCCGTCTTCCGGGCACCCCTGTACTGGGGAGTTAAGTCAGGCAGGAGCTTCTTCCGTGTTGTGCTCTCGGGTGAAGGGGTGTTTCATATGGGCAGCTCCTCTGAATCATCACTACTAATGACTCCAAACTATTACTAAAACATTAAGCACCATGTCCCTGAAACTTACCTTGAGACAGGGCAGTGACTAACCCAGGAAGTGCAGAAGTGTGGTGACCTTCTAAGGAGTGATTCAAAATGGAAACAAACAGGACTGCAGAAGCTATTAATGTTACAGGGCACAAGGTAATGTTGCCAAGTCTGAATACAAAGCAAAGGCTTGAGGAAGAGCAACACGGCCAGCTGGCGACCGAGTGTTCTGAGCAGTGGAATCTGATGACGCTGTCTGCAGGCAGAGTATGGCAGAGCAGCACAAATAAACAAGAGGGGAGCTTTGTGGGGGATGCGACCCAGAAAACAATTAATTACTTGAGCAGCCCAAGTAGAGGAATGGTAAAACATCTGGCATGTTCTAAAAGGATATGTTACCTGGAGCAGGATTAAGAAAATAAAAGTTAGAGGTCACTGGCAAACAGCAGTTTTATTACTGATCTCATAAAACTCCTCCAGTTGCAATACAACCTAGTGAAAGGTCAAGGAATTGAACAGTAATAAATTACACTGATAAAGCCAAACCCTCCCCAGCTTACTTGAAAAGTTAGGCGTACTTTCCATTACAAAAAATGGAAAAGATGAGTATACGCTGCATTTAAAGAGATCAGTATCATTAAATAAGTGAGAACTGTGTGTATTTAAAGTTTCCCAAGGTCTCCCTCAATCACTAGTGCAAGTTTCAGCTGAAACAAAATTACTTTGCTGCAAGATAAACTTGGTAAGTTGGAGAAGTGCCAATTGCACCTTTATTCCAAGCTTTGCAAGTGCTTCTTCTGTGTTTATGTACTGTCAGCCAAATCTTTATACCTGCATTCATTATTGAATAGTAATGCTGATTGATAGGTCTTCTCAACAGCGTGGGTTTTCTACTGGAAAGCAAGTAGCCTGCCCATGATAACGGTCTTTCAAGCAGTGACTAGTTACCACGCTCAGTCCTTTAAGTTAGATGTTCTTTGTAATGTTGATCCTAGATATATTAGAGACAACATTTAGGGTAGAAATTTTGTAATACCTACTATTTAGGTATCTGGTAACTGCCTGTTCTTGGTTGTTTTCCTAAGTACCAAAAAGCGCTATTTTCCTTGTTGTGGTGTTTACTGGAGACAGTGAATCATACCAGTTCTGACATCTGCCTCTTGCTGAACAAAACCGTTTAGAGCTTAATGATACGGCTTTGACCTTGCCAGCCCTGGCCCCTTGTGAGCACTGACGTGCTGAGCATTTGTTAAGGAGGAAAGGCTCACTGGCCACTTGAGACGCTTCAAAAGTCAGGCTGTTAGAGAAAATAAATACCTAATTAAAGGAGATGTGCTTTATAGACCAGGCAGTTCAGTTCTGTATACAGAAATAAGTTTGTGTATTTTCTTCTAACAAGCTGCTTTTTTCTTTCAGGAATGAAAAAATCTCTAAGCCATCAGAGCTGCTCAAAGGAGTCACAATGACTAAAACTGCTTTACTTTCTGCTATTTTGCATCTGAAAAAGGTTCAGTCTGATAGTGGGAAAGGCTGGGGAACACACAAGGACAGGGAAGCACGAAGATGATGGAAAACACTGTCTCATCCTGATCATAAAGAATTCTGTTACCTGTGTCCATAATCTGCCACTAACATCTGTGTACAAATGTTTTTACTTTTTCATGCACTTACTTTTTGCTCAGGAGAGTGGTATGCCGCTCTGTTGTGGACTTCAGTTTTTCTTGACACGACTATTCTTCAGCCAGTCCTGAAGCAATCTTAAGAGACAAAAGGAAGACATCTGAAACCTTTTCCTCTTTGCACTATTAGTTATGTTTTTCTGTCCTATCTGCTCTTGCTGAGAAGTGAGAATGACACACATTCCAGTCCCATACATGCTGAATGGCTGGTTCCAATCTGTCTGATTCAGATTGCCGTTTTATCTACTGCTGCCTCGTGAAGATGAAACAAACCCCAGAAACACCCTTCATGGGGAGCTTGAAAAATGCTTACCTTGCATCTGCCTATGCATGGGAAGCTAAAACACAAAGGAAAATTACTGAACTTACTCCAGATAGATATACAACTCCTCAAACTTAGCTACTGAATTGGCAAATACCAGTTACCTAGTTCAGTGAGGTGATTGGGCAAATGCTAATTTTAAAGAATGTTGCTGACCTCAGACTTGATGTATTTTCAGCTGAACTTTTGTAAGCTCCCAAACCAGCCATAAGTATTTACTTTGCTGTGCTTGAAAATTTCAAGAACTTTGTATATTTTTATATAGAAAAACTTAGTATGAAAATAGCTTAGAGACTGAATTTCATTATCAGACCAACCTTCCATTTACAAATTATTGCTCCTTGCAGGACCACAGAAATTCTCTGAAAACAATTTGGTATTAATAATTAAATAGTTGTCTAAGCAACACAGTGCAGAGAACCATAGGGGAAATTTTAAACTATGCAATCAAAAGGTGCTCAGTCTTTACCATGGGGTTCTTGCTTTGCTTTATTTCTGCAGACATATATTTCTACTGACAAATAATAGGTATCATAGACAACATTTACTGGTGAGAGAACACTGTAGGCTATGTGTAACTATGAAATAAACCTAAAAGTGTAACTTTCTGAATCATGTCTGTCTGTACTGGAAACATCTCACATCTACGTGAAAGGCTGGAGGGGGGTTGGTTTTAGGTGGTCTGGTAACTGCCGTTTTTCTAGACAACTTGTTCCTCTAAATCAAGCTTTACAAGTAAAGTAATAGTGTTAGGTTGCTTTTCTTGCTGCTGATGCCAGTCCTCCACTCAGTTAATGCTGGGATGTCAAAGATGACCTCTTGCTCTTCGTAACGGGGAGGAAGAGCCAAGTGTAAAACCTGCTGCTCTGTGAGTATGTCCAGCCTAAGACGGGCCTGCGGTTTCAGAAGCGTAGTAAAGAGTCTGCACCATCAAATGACAATCACTTTAGCCTAGCTCTGTAGAAAGAGGTTTTAATTAAATATCCTTGTCTGAATGAGGAGTGCCTTGCCCCTCTGAAATCAATAACAACTAGATTCTAAAATAATCCCCTCATTTCTGTACAGCAGTTAGATACAAGGTACACATACACACAGAGTTAACACACTAATGACACAAAATGGTGTCAGAGTGTATTCGATCCCGAGAAATAATTTAGTTACACTGTTGTCTAATGACTTTTCACCTTTGGTGACCTAAACGATAAAAAGAAAAGAGGAAGAACACCACATTTGTTTAATGCCACCACACTGTTATCTGTGCAGTTATCCCGATCGAAGGACACAAAGTAATTTGCTGACTTACTGTGGTCTTGGTCATGGTCTGGGCTCGACTAGTTGGAAGCATTGCACAGAGAGCTCGGAAGAAGCTACGAACAGTAGAAGCAGGAATTAGTTATTAATGGACATACTCTTACTGTGCACTCACGTCAGCCATTGCAAGGGTTGTACAGTGCGTTTACTAACCACTACTCCATCCAGTAACACCAACCACTGTTTCTTTAACTCTGCATGACTTAAGACCACGTAATAGCGTAACGCAAGCAGTGAACGCCCTTAAAGGATGGAAACATGAAGGCTCTGAACACAGAGCTGTTGGGCATGGTGTTATAATTTCATGACAAAGGCTGTGATTAGGCAAATGAACTGCTTTGCATATACAGCTGGCATTATGATAAATTTGAAAACGCCGCGATTGTTCCCCATACTTGAAGAGATGGGTGACATACAACCTATTTGGAAAAAGCCCAGTTCACTCATCGGGAAAGACAGATGTCAACACTGTATTGTGTAGCAAGGATCAGCTTCTCTAAGGCTTGTCAGAATATTTTAAGGCTTCCATACACTGTAAATGCTACAGAGCTGATGGTCGTAACAACACATTTTACTCACAGATAACATGAAGCAATAGCTACCTGTCAAAAAGCTGAATAAGACTAGTAGATGAAACATGATGGCCATTTGGGGCTGGTTTTGTTTTCAAACCAGATTTATTTAAAAAGCAAATTTAGTATTTTTTATTATAAAAGTACATGTTACTTGCTGTAGTCTCAGCTATTGCCTCTTTTCTGTTGAACTGAAACCGATTTACCTAACATTGTTTCTGCTGGAGTTTACAGAAACACATTTTTCTCATTTACTCATCTCTGTAAATGCCAGATATCACTCTAGTTATAGAAAGTATACTTTAGATAATTTTTCACCTCCATTTCAGGGTAGGTCTGCTAGACTTCTATATTTTTTCAGAAACAAATTAGAAAAAGCAAAGACAGCATTTACTTCATATATTTACAACAACAGACCATCTTTATCAATAGCGTTATTAAACAAACCCTCACTGCCTGCACAGAGCTGATAGCATGCAGAGTTTCTTGTTCTGACACTGAAAAGCAGGAGAAAATTCTCTTCTGGTTTCTATTCACGACTCTACCACACAACTCAGTACGCAATGTGGAACAGTTTCTCTGCCTCAGCTGTAAAATAAAAGGCAAACAGAGCCCTGGTTCAAAAGTTACTGACGCCTCTGGCATTCTGTCTGAAGGGTCGATGCAGACTTTGAATACTATGTCAAGGTAACTTACCTTTACTTGAGAGTACTCTGCTGCTGTTCTTCCGTATTTTCTCTCTCAATTTCATTACTTTTAATTGTGGGCATTTGAAACCTGAGGAAAGGAAAATAGAGATGACGATCAAGCCATGAATCAGCTTTAACTGCTCCTGGCTTTTGGGAGTTCTTAGTCTGTCATTCAAACAACAACAAAAAATGCAGTAAACAAATCCAATATTTTAGAGCAACCCTTCCACACGTTTGTGAAACTCACTGCTTGCTCAAGCAACCACGATGTGTTTGTACATCCCACACAGCACCGTGGGAGCAGGCAGAGGAGAAACCCAAACACAGTGAAGAACAGCTGAACTTCCTCAATGCTGGGCACCCAGGTAGTGAACAGCTTTACAGCACACACCACCTTTCCTACTCCTGGTATTGTGGGGTGGCATTCTACCACAAACGCTGGGTAAGGTAGCTGACCCTGTCAGTGTTGCTGCAGGGACAGATCTGGAACAATTTGACAAGCAAGGACTGGTTTTTAGTTTCAGCAAAACAGCTCAAAGCCCTTACTAAAAATGGCAAAAGACAGGACATACGTAAACTTCACTAAGGAAAGTACGTATTCATGAAAGATGATCATGCCTACTAAAGAGCACCTTTAAAAGAACAGAGATCATGCAACTTCACAACAACGATGGGAGATACCAGTCAGAATTTTCAGGACAAGTAATAAAATACGATACCACGAACTTTTATCATTCAATTCAACATTTAAGTCAGAACACTTGCAAGGCTTACAGGTGGTAGTGTCTCTCCTTCACTTGCTTCCTACCATTACTTTGAAAATGAATAAGCAGGACCTGCCTGTAGAGCACTTCATCCCATCCTAAAGGCTTCATCAGTTTGGGTAACAGAAGGCAGTTTGCTGCTAGCTCAGGGGAGGGAGCCAGGCAGGGCAGAAGTACAGACTATACAAAGCAGGGATCTGTGGAAGTACTGAGATACAAATTTTACTGTTGTTTGACATGAAGCATTTTTAAAATCATGACACCTCCATGGTAATAATACAACAGCCCTCAACAAATTCTCTTAAATATTTACTGGGTAAGTGCACTGAAAAGAATCTAGGAACTGTGCCTCAAACTGCTCAGGATTCAGGTGAAGTTTTATTCTTGCATTTCAGAAAAGTAAAAATGCTACTTCCTAGTAAAATCTTTTGTTAAGAATACCAGCTGACCACTTGCTTTAATACAGAATTTCAGCTACTGGGAAAACATGGTTGGAAGGGGGAAGAAAAAAAAAAAAAAAGGTTCTACCAGTCTTATCTTCTTTTGGATGAATACATACACAAGATGTATATAAAAAGATCCTGAATTACTCAAACATATACAAAGTAGGATCACTGCATATAATACCACTTCCTCTCAGGTTCCTCTTTGCCTAGCATGCACAGTCTTTTATTTTCCTTTCCCTAACTCCAACTTTTACGTCCTTTCCTCCACAATGCCAATGTCACACCTGCAACACATTACACAGGCC